CCTTTGATCTTAAACCTGATGTTGAACACTCAAAAGATCAGTGGCACCACTACTGAAGTGGGAGCAGTAGGTTTAACTGCATGGATATTGAGTACTTTGAAATGTAGTATGGCCAGAGAACTATTATTCTTTTACCAGTCATGGTTGTCTTAGAAATCAAATTTCTATAGAATATTAACAGATAGGGTCGGGTTCCACTGCCTATCTTGCAAGCACAAGGTCCTGAGTTTGATCCCCGGTACCCCCAAAGAAAAGAATTTTTAACATAACAGTTACAGAGAAATTATGAAACCAAGAGCAGACATAACTTTTTTTTTTTTTTTTAAGGATCTTGATGTGTAGTTCAGGCTGCCTCAAACTCACGGCAATCCTCCTGCCTCAACCTCTTGAGTGCTAGGATTACAGGCATGCACCACTGTGCCCAGCCACATAGCATTTTAGATGACAATTATGATATTTTATTAGAACCATTGGGTTTTTATTACCATCTCTGAAATAATTTTAAATCTCTGTTTTACCAATTGCGTACCTTAATCTAATCTTAAGATATTAAATGACCTACTTAAATTTGTTATCTTTTAATAAAGTGTCTTTTAAGTAGAATGTACTTGATTACAGATGCACTTTATAGGTTATTAATGCTTACTCTTTAGTCATTAGAGTGACATTGTCTGGACTGTGTAGTGTTTAGGTACATGTAACTGTTGTAACATAACTATATAACAGTGACATAAACATAAGCCCGAAAAATGATAGTACTGGCTGTCTCATGTTCGATTGGCCTGCATATTTTCTCACAAGTAAGGGAAGGCCAGTTATTTGAGCCTAAAAAGGTTTCCTATCAAACAACTTTAGACTGAAAATCTCCAGTATGATTTTTTTTTTTCAGTTCTGTATCTTAGAAGGCCCGTACATTTGAGAAACACAAATGTATTTAGTATACCATGAGGTTGGAGATAACTGTTGTCACAGAGCTATTTGGACCCCCCCAACAGGAATCGAACTCAGGATCTTGCATTTGCCAAGCAGGTGCAGCGCCACTAAGCTACATCCTTGGCCCAATAAACGTAACTTTAAAGCTTAGATTTACAGTGTATTTTGTTTTTAGATATATCTAGATATCTATATCTAAAGACAATATAACTAGATATAGATATTTAGTTCCATGTATATATTAGTTCTGCCATAAACTAGTATAATAGTTGTTTATTTAAGCAATCACTAACTGATTATTGAAACCATTTTACAAGATAACACTTAAATAATACTTAACTCTTAAAACTCAGTTTTTGGTAACTGAAAGCCTAACAAAGGAAAACAAAACGAATCTTAATAAAATATAGAGCCTTTGGTTTTTAATCTAGTTTTGTAAGTTTAATCAAGAGCACTTTAGGGCCAGGGATTTAAAGATATCTTTACTCTTACCAACCATTTTAAATTAGCCTACTGGTAAGCCATGTGAACAAGAAGTATTTGGGCCAGTACCATGAGGGTCTGTCTACTATAAGCCAGCTTAAGTGGAAATTTTGGAGGCTAATATATACCTGAAAGTTAGCACAGAAACATCCATATTAACCTAAATCACATGTAATCTTTATGTTACCAAACTTTATTTGCAAGTCCTCTGTAAGCCTGGTACCTATCAGCTCTCATCCAGTAATGTTTTAAGTGAGTTTGGCTACCCCTGCAAGACCTATACAACTAGTTTTCCACAGAAAACCCCAAAAGAGCTAGAAGTTCACAAGAGTAAAAATAAAACTGATATGAGCTAAAAAAAAAATTGCTGATGAAGCAGCTACACATATTTTAAACAGTTATTAAAACAGGTTAACAGGTAGACAGGAAAACATGTAGAACACATAAAACAATTACATTGAATCTGAGTATAGTCTGCATGTGTTGGTCATGTTGGCTTATAATAACCTTTTACAGTTTTAGGTTTATAACTAAGCAGTCAGAACCTTCCCTAGGGGATAAATTTAACATCAGTAAGAGTCAGAAAGGAAAAGAGAAAAACCCTTCTTACACTAGTGAGAAAGCAAGCCTGCTTTGAGAAGTCCTGACTGATAGTTTACCTTGGTAGCTGGAATAGCTGCTACTGCAGTACAGGATCCTCCGTGCCCTCTGTATCAGAGTCATTATGGTAAACTGTTCCTTAGACAGCCACAGTTATGTAAATGCTCCCTCTAAAGGGGCAGACAACACGGTGCAATTTATATATTTTCCTTTAGCAACCACTTTTCCTTTTTTGTGGGGAGTGCTTGGGCCAGGTGTGGGTGTAGAAAAAAGAATAGGTGACGCTTCTTTGGAGTTCAAAGGAATTCTAACTTTAAGTATGCATTCCTAGGCTGGGGAAAGTCAAGTTCCACATTGAGCTTTCCCATTCTGAAGCATCAGTGCACATTCCTGTTTGTTCTCTCTCTTTACCTAAGGCATCCCCTAGACCTCACCCACCCAGTACTCTTGGCAGTGAGCTGGAGGTACTCAGTGAAGTGGGACCAGCACCAGACTGTTGAACTGTGGCCTCTCTCCGCGTGTTCTCCTGACCCCTTGGCTCATGCTAGCTGTAGACTTTGCCTTTCTTGGCCTCAGCATATCTCTGAGTATAGAATTCTGTTGTTGGTCTGGCAGGAAGCTCCAGAGAGAAACTGGCAAGTGAGGCAGTTCCTGGCTCTCCTGAATGTCTGTTCTGTAGTCTGTGGTGTCCCCACCCTGTTCCAGCAGCATTCCCAAAGGGGAGGAGGAGGAGAGGGCCCCTTACCCTAAGAACAGAAAGGCAGACTATGGGGACTAAACTTTCTCATTCTTTTTTTGTTTGTTTGTTTGGAGAGTTTGAGGGTTAAATATAGACCAGTTTGAGTTGGTGGCCACGGCCTTGGACTGGGATGAACTACGCTCCCAGTGAAGGCAGAGAGCTGGACTGAAACATGCTCAGTACAGTGGTAGCAGTTGGACTGACCATTGCTGCTGCAGGATTTGCTGTTGTGTTTAACAAGCCATGAAGCATATGGAGCCTCAAGTAAAACAAGTTTTTCAGAGCCTACCAAAATCTGCTTTCAGTGGTGGCTATTATAGAGGTGGGTTTGAACCTAAAATGACAAGAACAGCAGCATTAATACTAGGTATAGGCCCTACTGCCAATAAAGGAAAAATAAGAGATGCTACTGATGAATTACTCTGTTAATCATCCAGATAAAGGAGGATCTACTTATACAGCAGCCAAAATCAGTGAAGCTAAAGATTTACTAGAAGGTCAAGCTAAAATATGAAGTAAATGTGTGATGAATTTTAAGTTCATACTAGCTCATGTATAAGAGTACTAAATTTTTATAGTAAAACACCCCTGAGCCAAAAAAAAAAAAAAATTGATAGATACAGATACAC